CCCGCGCCCCGCCGGCTCCGGGCCCTCCTCTCGCCGCGCCCGCCCAGCGGCCCGCCTCGGCTTACCAGCGCCGGCGATGCTCACGCCTCTGCGCCTCCGTGGTGGCCTCCGCCCTCCTCTTCACAAAGCCCAGCAGCTCGCGGACGTCCTTGTCGCAAGAGGCCAGGAGCGGGTTCCTCGCATCCAACGGCCCGTAAAACACGGCGGCGGGCAGCGAGTGCTCGGGCCCGGCGCAGCGCAGCGGCGGGCTCGGCGTGTTCGTCTTCGACTCCAGGGGCGACTTCGAAACTGTGCCCGAGGTCGAGGAGGGGGTCGGAGGCAGTTCCGGCGGCGACACCGATGCAGGAGACGCGTCGGACGCGGGGCTGGCGGTGGCGCCCTGCGCCGCCATGTTGGTGCGACCGGGGCCGCCGGGAGTTTGTGTAGTTTCGGTTGCCGAGCGACGGTCTCATGGCAACCAAGCATCCCGCGCGCTGTCCGAGAAACAGCGGCTCCTGCAGGACGGAGGAAGAAAGGGCCGGGTCCAGGACCGACAGAAACCGGGGAATTTATTTGTGCGGTTGCCCTCTGGCTTTCCTGTGGGAGATGAGACTAGAGAGAAGGCTTTGAAAACAGAGCTGGATAGGCCGGGCATGGCGGCGCACGCCTGTAATCCCAACACTTGGGAGGCTGAGGCAGGAGGATTGCTGTGAGTTCAAGGCCAGCCTGAGCTACAAAGTGAGTTTAAGGTCAGCCTGAACTGCATAACGAGACCCTTTCTCAAAAAGACCAAAAACAAAAAAAAAGAAGAAGAAAACAGAGCTGGAGAATATTAGAGCTGAAATTTTTCACAAGACTGAAATTTCTCACAAGTCCACAAGACTGGACTATATTCTTTTTTTATTTCACATTTTAGGAAACTAAATCCTAGGTAGGTTAAATTATTTGTAAAAAGCCATAGTAGTGTCAGAGACCAGGTCCTAGTCTGTGACTCTAAAGCTTGTGCTCAGATTCCATAATCTGTATGGATGGCTCCCCACAGTTAGTTGATTAATCAAATTGAAATTAGGAAACACTGACAAGCAGTTTAAGAATCAAATACCTGCAACTGATCCCTTAGTCTGTCCCTCTTGCAATGGATTATACTTATTTATTTGCATTTTAGCCATATTATTCACTGTATTATAAGTCAGTGGGCATTTTACACAACCTTAACTATTTGGTATAAATGCATGCTAATGGCTTAAAGTGCTAACTCTCAAAATACTTCGGCGTTTTAAACAAGGATTTTTGAAGGGCTTTACTTCAAGTGAGGAAACTACCATCCCTCAAGGGAAATAGCTAATAGCAAGAGAAATTCTTTCCCTACATGGTATGGTCCACCGTGAGAGCCAAATTTATTCATTTGATGTTTGAGTTTCAATAAATAGGGAACCTGTTTTCCTTATAAATTATACAGTACCAGAAATTATACAAAAAAGGGACCAGAAATATTGAGTAGCTTAGAAAAATAGGTCTTTAACACTAAAAAGTGTTGCCAGTTCTTTCACACTTAAAAATAAAGTGACCCTAACATTCAGTAAGCCCAATTTCCCATTAAAGATTAAGAAGCTTATTAGACCACAGACGATTTTTTTTTTTTCAGTTCTGACCTAATTTTGTTCAGGCTCTGTGGGCCTGTACTAATTTGGAAGGCTATGTTATGTCTGTGTACTGCACCCGTATATTCTTTGAAGGAGGAGGAGAGTATTTTGCTCACCGGGCCAGGTAATTATGGCCAGGAAATCTTCCTAGCAAGTGGCGAAATGCAGAGTCCTCACTGTGTTCGGTCCAATTCTCCAACCAGGCTTTAGATACCATCCTCCGATTGACAAAGATTTTATCTTATCTCTTGTGAGCAGAAAAAAATTTTAAGACTTTAAAGAATTTAGGCCTGGGGGAAGTTTTCATCCTTGGGGTATTTTCAAAAAAAAAAAAAAATTAATGGGATCTTTTTATTTCAGTCAGCTTCTTACATTCTCTCACTTTTTAACTTTGTTTGCACGTAGTAGACTTGTCCACTTCAGATCAAAAGCGAGTGTAATTTGCCACCGAGAACGATCTCTGATATTGATGAAAGGGAAGCAGCAGGATTCAATTAAATTAAAGTGGTCACAGAGGAAGGAAGAAAATAAAAATAAAACACAGTGGGAATTTTCCCCCAATCCGGCTGCCGTCACCAGTGACCTGGCTCATGGTGTAAGCACATCCATTTCAAAGTCACTTGTGAAAGATGTGACTAATTAAATTCAAATACTTGAATTATGAAACACTGTCTCTTAGTCATCTTCCTCCGTGCACGTAATTTAGTTAACAATGCTTAACTCGCAGTAGTTTTTGGAAGCTTTTCCGAATATTTAAATAGGTGTTATGTTCTGAATCATTGGGGCAAGATGGAAGTTTCCATTTTGTTCAGTTCAATTATATTTGAGGCATCTTTTTTTTTTTTAACATTTTAGAGAAGTTGTCTTTCTTGTAATGAGATGCAGCCATTAGAATATCTTTTCTACTTCCTTGTCACTTGGTTTTATTCTTTTCCCTGTAATGAAAGAATAGAGCTCTGCGACTACCGTGTCTGACAGGGCTAAGTAATGTAAATAGCTTCCTTATAAATAATGTAAATTGCTGTTTCATATAATTAATGCCTTCGCAGGCTGCAAGGATCCTTTTGCCCATTCAAAATTCTTTTTCATCTAAAGTTACTGTTAGAGAAATAATAAATAAGGTTAGTGTTCTGTCGGTTAGTAATTTAGCTGCTAATCACTTGTACTGCCCCAAATAGATATATAAAGTTCTTTAAAAGAAAAAGAGCACAAAAGCCTCCCTTTTCTATCTCTCCACCTAATATATCGACTTAAAAAATTCTTTTTCTACTTCTTCATCCCTTCAGTCAGTTAAATGCAGCCCTTTGTTGAGTACATCCATGCAATGCATAGATGAGCCCACACATTCTTTACAAGAAGCAGGTGACACACATAAGAACTAGCCATGATTTTATTTAAAAAAAAAAAAAAAAAGGCTATGAAATGTGCTGTGACAAAGTCTTAAAAAATGTTATAAGGGTCCGAAGATGAAGCGGGACTAAAGAGAAAACAAAGAATCATAGAAGAGATGTCGTGTTAGCCTTGGACTGTAAATACCCATTACCAGAAACACCCTTACCGCACGGACTTGCTTGTTTGTTATGGTAGGCATCCGGTACTGGAGACCCCTGCAGTGAACCCCAGTCTCCTGCCAGGTGTTGCAGTGTGTGGAGGGAGGGAACGAGGGAGGGAGGGAGAAAATGATAGAGAGAGACAGAGACAGAGACAATGGCAGTTCAGCAGGGATCTCGGGTGACCAATTGCTCATGAGGAGCAAAAGGCCAGGAGGCAGCCAGAACCTTGGTATTTATTGACTGGAAGGGGAATTGTTGGATGATTCAGAGGGCAGCTGTGGTCTCACACGGACAAAGACCTGGCCTTGGAGCATCCTTAGTCTTAGTCTTAGTCTTCAAGGTGGGAGAGGATGGCCCACCCCTAAGGAGATAGCAGGAAATCTCAAAAGGGTGATACCCATAATCCCAAGCCTCTGTTTCTCCCGCAGGGAAATAGGTAAAACTAGCCATTGTGAATTTCTGGTCCCCAACAATCCAAGCCCAGCACCTGGCATGAAGAGCTATTAAATAAATCTTTGTTGGAGTAAGTGAATTAAAAAAAAAAAAATTTAGAAGGCTATCTCTGAGGGGAAGAAAAAAAAAAAACCTAAGTAAGATACAAAGTCATAAGCACACACAGCAAGTTGAGGTCAATAATGTCTAGTGTGGTGAGCTGCTGGCTGCAGTAGATCAAGATGAGGCAGAAAAGAAAGCATGGACAAACACAGCAGATAGTTGGAAGGTGTGCTCAGAAATTTTGACTCAACTTTACATTTAGCAGGACTCCTTAGAAAAACATAGACAACCCCCATGATAATTTCATTTAACGATATTTTTGACTGGATGGTGGTAGGAAAATGTACTCCTACAACTTTCTGTTTTTTCCTTTCAATGCAGTAATCAATAAATTATACGCCATATTCAATGCCATATTATATTTTTTTAAAGAGAAAAAATAACAAAGATTAAAGTACAAGATTTAGCTCAGTGGCACAGCGCCTGCCTGGCAAGCGCAAGGTCGTGAGTTCAATTCCTGGTACTGCAAAAAAAACAAAAAAAAGTAATAATAATAAAGTAGGGTAGGCCAAACTATGATGTTTGGTAGGCTAGATGTATTACATTATTTTTGACTTATGCTATTTTTAATGTAACAGTAAGTTTATCAAATAAAACACCATCATCACGAAAGCTTATCTGTATGTTGTAGAGATTAAAAGCTCAAATTCTGGGGCTAGAAATTGTGATGTGAAAGCTTAGTTCTTCCAAAACTCATTGTCATGCCGGGCATGGTGGTGCAAGCCTGTAATCCCAGCATTTAGGAGGCTGAGGCAGGAGGATCATTGTGAGTTCAAGACCAACCTGGGCTGCAAAGTGAGCTCAAGGCCAGCCTGAACTGCAGAGCGAGACCCTGTCTCAAAAAGACAAAAAAAAAAAAAAAAAAAAAAACCTCACTGTGTTTTATTTTCATTATCTCTGCAATGGTGGCAAAGTAACAATACTGTCTACCTCATAGTTCTATTTTGTATAGAAGTAAATGAGTTAATATATGTAAAATCTGTAAAACAGTGGTTTTCACAGAGGAAGTGCCATGTAAACGTTAATTATAATTATTTAAAGAACTGTTGAAAATTCCTAAGCAGGGAACTGTAAGTTCTAATCTGTGTTTTATATAATTTTAAAAGGAGAGTATTTGAGGCAGAATAAAAGATGGCTAAGAGTAAACAAGATGATATCCTAGCTGCACAGATCATTATACATAATCCACAAACAGAAGTAGCCAACCTAAACCCATGGATGAGACACCAGCACAGTCAGCAGGAAAATGAATTCTGATCAATAAAACGAAGGAACAGTTAGGGAGAACTATGTAGTGTCATGTATATAAGAACTATGTAATGTATTATGTGTAGATATTGTATGTTTTATACAATTATAAAAGTAGTAAAAGAAATTCTAACAGAATATATTTAAGGTTTTGAAGAAGAAACTTCCTTAGAACCTACAAAAGTGTGAGCTGGGGATTTAGTTCAGCAGCAGTAGTGCCTGCCTGGCAAGCATGAGGTCCTGAGTTCAATTCCCAGTACAAAAGAAGAGAAAGTTGAGAAAAAAAAAATCTACAAAACTGAAAGACAAAAAGGGAAATATAGCTCCATGTGAACTCATTAGGATAAGCTTTTGGAGGATGAAATATACCAAAGCAAAAATGGAAAAACAAGGGCTGGGGATGTCGCTCAGCAGCATAAGCACTGGCCTGGCAAGCCTGAGGTCATGAGTTCG